ATAAAAGAAGAAAACACCAGTTGGCTTAACAAATGTTGGGTGGGAAGTCTTGAGGACGTGTCTCTATTTGATAGACTATAGGAAACTAAAATCTTTGACGAAAAAAAGGATATAAGGTTAAGATATATGGGAGATGACATGGTGCTGATATCCGGGGTAGAGGATGAAGATCTGAAAGAACCTCACTCAGAAGCTATTCACGGTATGTGGTCACTGTTTCATTCCATACACAGAGGGACCCCGAGTTCGGTGGATGGAAATAGATTAATTTGGGTAAGGTGTAGTGGCATCCCTATACACCTCTAGAGTCAAGATTGCTTCGCAAAAGTAACTAGTGTTTTTGGGACTCTTATTTTGTTGGACAACGACACCTTGAGTTTCAGTAAACTGGATTACGCCAAATTATTGATCAAAACTTCCTCTATATTGCCAATCCAACATTTCAATCAGATTAAAATTAACGGGGTGATAATACAAATAAGAGTTATAGAGGAGGTGACAACAAACACTAGCCAGTGTAAGTGTGAGCTTTGGAGAAATGATGGTATAACCTTATCGTCGGCTGCAAGTGAATTGGTTGTTAATCTATGCTCGTCGTCCTCTGAATGCTCAGAAAAGAACACATGGCCGGAGGGGGAATGTGTAGCCTTGGCGGAGAACAATCATAGCTGGAAGGAAGATGAAATATCTAATTGTTACTCAAAGGTCTTGGACCAACAGCTTACCCATGACAAAGAAGGCGGACTAGTCTATAGTCACATCGATAGAAGTAACAGTATGGAGAGTCGCATTTTGGTGAAACTAGGTGAGGAGGAGGACACAAGGATTGTACTGGAGGAAGCGGTGCAGGAAGAGGTGCATGAAATAGGAAACCTAAAGAGTGGGATGGAAGTCACTAGCTACAGAGTTAACAATACCGAGGCCAATACGAATCTTGATGGGGCCAATATAATTGCTTCAAGTGCAACGAAAGGCAATAAGCTAGTCACCTCTATTCCTCTTATTAACTCACAACAAGTGAATGGGCCTAACCCGGTCGGTCCAATTCGTATCATAGAGAAGGGGCCTCACCCAATTGAAAATCTGGCCAAAGAGGAGATTAGAGGTAATCAAGGCCCACAACCTATTAGTAAACAATATAAGGTCACAGAGCAATCTAACAGTGATCAATTACAAGTGAGACGGGTACATGAGGTGAGTAGAGAAGGGAATCAGTTGAGTATGACAAAGGAGACTGGTGAATCTATTTCAAGAATGGGATGCTCCCTTGATTCGGATAACGAGAGTGCGTGGAAAATGAATAACCAAGAACATCCAAGATCAGAAACCAACAGTAGCTATAAGGGGAAGCAGCCAGCGGCAAAGATGAGGGAGGAACAAGATACGAGGGAGGAAACATCTACAGAGATGGGAGCTGCCATTGTGCCTACAACAAACGTCAACCCTGTACAAACAATTCTCGTCGCAAGGAGAAAACAAGTACGACTAGATCTTCATTCATTCAGCAATTCTCTCTCCAATTGTGAGATTAGAAATTATAATAGAATTTTCTAGCTGAACAAAGATGTATCAGAAGCAAAGAAAATTTGGGAAATAGGAAGAGCTATGGGTCTTACCTACAATGGGGAGGAGAATAGAGCAATTCAAAAGTTGGAAGAACTAGAGGAGAGGGACCAACAAGAAAGATGGAAAACGGGTAATCAAAAATGAGAGGGGAATTTTACGGGTAATAAATGAAATTCATTTCCTTCAATGTGAGGGGTCTAGGAGGGAACGTGAAGTGGCGTACTATTTGCAAAATGATTAGCGAACAACAGGTGGATATCTTGTGTCTACATGAAACAAAAAGAACAGAAATATCTGACAAGTTATGTGAATGGTTGTGGGGTGACGGAAGAGAAGGGGATATGGGGTGGAAAATGATCCCTACAGTTAATACAGTTGGGGGATTGCTATGTTTATGGAGTGAGGCAAAATTAGAAGTCACGGATCACTTTCAAGGCTCAGGTTTCTTAGGATTGGTGGGATTTTGGAAAGAAAAATGGATTCAAATAGTAATCGTCAACATATATGCACCATGTGAATCCTCTCAAAAGAGACAATTATGGGGAAATCTGAAAGAAAAAAGAGAAAGAAGTAAAATAAAATGGTGCTGCTTGATGGGGGATTTTAATAGTGTAAGGAAGACTACAGAGAGAGTGGGAGTCAACGGTGGGAATACTGGTACAATAGAGATTAGAGATTTCAACAATTTCATCTCAGATCTGGACATTGTAGAGGCTCCATTGATTGGTAGATCATTTACGTGGTACAAGCCAAATAAGAGAGCAAAAAGCAGGATTGACAGGATTTTGGTCTCTAGAGACTGGTTTGATCAATGGCCAAGGAGTATACAACTGGTTCTGAATAGAAATATCTCAGATCACTGTCCAATTTTGTTAAAGAACGTGGAGGAGGTGGATTGGGGACCCAAACCATTCAGATTCTTAGACTGTTGGTTGAGCGATAAAGACTTTCGATCCTTGGTGGAGAAAACATGGCTAGGGATGAATGTACAGGGGTGGGGGCATTTGTGGTTAAAGAGAAGCTCAAACAACTCAAAATCACATTGAGAGAATGGAACATACAGAAGTCAAATGACCTACAGACTCAACACAACGCTGTTTCAGGGAAAATAAATGACTTGGATAAAAAAGAAGAAGCAGTTGGATTAACATCGGAGGAATATCTATTGAAGAGGGAGCTGCAACAAAAATTCTGGGAAGTGGCCACACGAAATGAGTCAATATTAGCACAAAAATACAGAGTTTCTTGGTTAAAACTAGGGGATAGGAACTCAAAATTTTTCCATGGGATGGTAAATTGGAGACGGAAGAAAATTCATTAAATGGCTTGGTTGTCAATGGTAGGTGGATAGACGATCCAAAATAGGTTAAGCTTCAAGCGAAGGAATTCTTTCACAACAGATTTATGGAACAACATTGGGAGAGGCCACTTCTAGACGGTGTTCAGTCCAAACAGATTTCAGACAGGGCGAAGTGTCAATTAACAGCGGCTATAGGTACAGAGGAAATAAAAATGGCAGTTTGGGATTGTGGTAGCTCAAAGAGCCTAGGCCCAGATGGATTTAATTTCAAGTTTATCAAATCTTTCTAGGAAACTTTGAAGGGGGATATTGTGAGAATGGTGAAAGAATTTCATGCAAATGGTAAATTACCAAAAGGCAGAAACTCAACATTTATCACGTTAATCCCTAAGGTTGATGATCCCCAATCTTTGGGTGATTATAGGCCTATTTCAATGGCTGGTTGCTTGTACAAGATTCTAGCCAAGATTTTGGCTAATAGATTGAAGAAAGTACTACCATCAGTAATCGATGATAGACAAAGTGCATTCCTAGAAGGAAGGAATTTACTACAGAGTGTGGTGATTGCAAATGAGACCCCGGATGAAGTCAAAAAGGAAAAGAAAAGTTGCATATTCTTTAAAGTGGACTATGAGAAGGCCTATGACTCAGTAAATTGGGAGTTCCTCTTATATATGTTAAAAAGGTTGGGGTTTGACGGAAAATGGATTCAATGGATACAAGTATGCTTAGAGTCAGCCCATGTTTTGGTGTTAATTAATGGCAGTCCCTCTGAGGAATTTCAAATGAATAGGGGACTCAAGAAGAGGGATCCTTTGTCGCCATTTCTCTTCACTATTGTGGTGGAAGGTCTAACTGGAATGATGAGGGAAACTCGTAGAAAGAATCTGTTCTCAGGAGTGAAGGTTGGAGAGAAGAAGGTTGAAGTATCTATTTTACAATATGCAGACGACATAATTTTTATGGGCGAAGCAATAATCAAAAATGTCATCACTATGAAGAGTATTCTAAGGTGCTTTGAATTGGTGGCTGGTCTGAAAGTGAACTTTTTCAAAAGTAGTTTTGGGGGTATAGGTGTTGAAAGGAATACGATAGATGGATTTGCACACCTACTAAATTGTAGAGTGACCCAACTACCTTTCAATTATTTGGGCATTCCATTAGGAGAAGTGATGGACTCCTTCCACCAAGGGGATGATCAAAACATTCAATGGTGAAGAGGAGCTCCTTGCCAAGGCCAAGATGGTGACCTTAGAGGGTGGACGTTCCTTCAAGGGTGAGGCTAAGTGACGGTGGGTGTGAAGGGTGGAGTCTTGGGCGAATAGGAGAAAGGTTGGTAGGATGGTGTTTTTGGGTGTTCTAGTTGGCTCTCTTCATCAAGTGGGGATGAAGGCCACTCAAGGGAACCCTAAACTCACTCTAGGGAGGAGATAGGAGAGGTAGGCCATGTAGACCTAGTGACTAAGGAGAGGATTTGAGGTAAAAATGCTCACTCAAATTCATATATTCCAAAGTATTTACATGATGCATAGCCTAGGGTATTTATAGGAGTGGGAGGCATTTAGGCTTGCATTTGGATAGTGCATGGACAAAATTCACAATCCAAATGCACACCAAATGAAATGCAAATGAACCCTACACTACTACAAAAAGAGTAATCTAAGTCGCTCAATCTAAGTCGGTTTATTAAAAAACGATGTAAAATAAGACGCGGTGGCAATTTTGTAAATAAAATGAACGTAATCTACGACGGTTTAGAAAATAACCGTAGTAGAATAGCCTACACAAATATATCTACGAAGGTTTATAGTAAAACCGACTTAGATGTTAAGTGATCCACTACCGTTTTTGTGTATAACCGACTTAGATGGAGACCCAAAAGTAACGCGCGCACGTCCTCTCTCAATTCATGCGCCCTTCAGTCTCCCAGTTCTCAGTTCTCTCTCAGTTCTATCTCACTTCTCTCCACATTCTTGCATTCAAATTCTCAGCGACGGCCCTCCGATAACTCTCAACCTTGACGGTGGCTGAAGTTATTTCAAACGGGACGGGGAGGCCAATCTCGGAGACGATGCGGCCTTCGACCTTGACGGAGGCAAAGGCCATGCGCTGAAGCATATTTACCTAACTCATTATTATATGGTATTATATAGAGGATGCATCGGCTTTGAAGTTCATCCCGCACCAAATCGGAGGTGTCCAAAACGACGCGCTTCGATTCGGTCTCCATGGAGTCAAGAGCGACATCGTTGGTTCTCACCCTCTCCAATCTTCCCTCCAATCTGTAATCTCTCTAAACCCTATCTCTCGATTTTAATCTTTTCTGCGTTTTTTTTTTTACTACTCTTTGCTTCTGGAACCGCTTTATCCCATTCACCCGTCACCATTTCCCCTTTTAAATTAGGGTTCATTTTGAAAAGAAAACCCTCTAAATGAAAATAATTTAAATTCTTATCCACTCTAGCAGGTTTATAGCTTCGGTGTATTTAATTATACTCTGCATTTGTTTTTCTTGTGTTTCTCATGTGTAGACAAGGAGAATGGAAGAAGCGATGAAGAGGCAATGCAAAGTCAACTTATATGGAATTGTTTTTCCTCTGAAGGAGGAACTTGACAGGCAAATATTGTCACGGTACGAGAATTTGGATTCCAATTATCTATTGTACTCTACTTTCTTTTTGTGTTTCGGAAGCTAAATCTATTTCGGTGATAAAATGATATTAGACTTTGTCTGTGTTTTTTCCTTTCCTATTAGATTGACTATGTGGAATTTGAGCGGCATGCTGGTGGTGGTTCCAATATGCATTATTTTGACCTTCTTATCAAATTAAAATCTGAACAAGAGCATCTCTTCCGTAATATTCAGAGAAACGAGTACCAACATTTGTATGAATTTATCAGGTAACTGTTAGCCTAATGCCAAATTTTACACAACTAACTGTTATATAAATAATTTGTTTTTTTTTCCGGCACATGCAGTTCGAAGGGCTTAAAAATTTTGAACTTGGGAGATGCCCAACCCACTATTGGTATAAAGAAGGTTCTCGAGAATGATGATGATGATGTTGTTGATCCACATCTTGAGCGCATAAAAAATGAAGCTGGTGGGGATGAAAGTGATGAGGAGGTGATCAAACAGATATTTTTTATATATTTTTCATCCTTATCTTTCAGTTTGAATAGCATTTAGTTAATAAGTGTTCTAGTTTTATAAATCAAGGAGACAAATTTATATATGTTGACCAACATCTGAAAATAGTTGGTCGTGAAAAAACTTGAGTGAACCTAAAGCTTAGGTTTCAGTTTATGCAATTATTGAATTCATGCAGTTGACCTTTCTTCTATTTTAAGTGTTTATTCATTTTGTCTGTTTTGCTTTATATTGTGTTTGTGTGCATTTGTCATTTGCTTCTGTACACATTTTCAGTATGGACTCTATGCAACTTGGCACCATTTTGGTCATTGGTTGGGGGGGTTAAATGTGGCTGGATTTCATAGTGTTTGTTTCTGTATACATTAAATGGTGGTAAATGTTTACAGGATTCTGATTTTGTTGCTGACAAGAATGATGAAGGTTCTCCCACTGATGATTCTGGGGCAGACGATTCTGATGGCAGTGATAGTGGTGATGACATAGAGGCAAGTGATTTTTGTTTGCGTTTGTTTGTTATCTTTGTGATTCTTCTATATTCTTTAAATATATATATGGTGTCTGACAAGTTTAATATGGCCAATTTTCAGAAGCCTGCCAAAAAGGAATCAAAGAAGGACCTGCCTTCTAAGGCATCTACTTCTAAAAAGAAACCAAAAGATGATGAAGATGGAAAGAAGAAAAAACAAAAGAAGAAAAAGGACCCAAATGCACCGAAGAGGGCAATGTCTGGTTTCATGTTCTTTTCTAAATTGGAAAGAGAGGTGTGTTCTATTCTCTATCATATAGATGGGCTGTATGGTTTTGGATGGGAGTATTTATCACATCTGCATAGCTCTAGGTTACAGTGGTAGTTTAAGTAGAATTGTATACTTCATTTTGTTTGCTCTACTGGATATTTTGGTGGAGAACATAGAAGTCTCAGGCTGGGTAAGGAAAAAAAAATCTTTACAATGCCGGGTAAAATAAATAATAATGAGATCATCCAACAAATTCTCTAATTAATGCAAGTGAAAGAGGAATGCTTTTAAGACCGAACTCTGTAGCCAAATGACCTTTAACAAAGTCTACCCGAAATAGTTCTCTCTACATAATATTCCTGAATTTTGTTTGACAGAATCTGAAGAAAACTAATCCTGCAATTTCATTTACGGATGTGGGAAGAGTACTTGGAGAGAAATGGAAAAATATGTCAGGTACGGTTGCCGATTGTTTGATTTCATGTTGTTCCATTGAGTATCAAGCACTTGAAAAGTCACTTCAAACAATCCTCCAAAATTTATGGGTTTGGATAGAGTTATTTTATGAATTTGGTATTTATAGATACCACTAAAAAGTCTTTCAAAACCCCTCTAATACAACAATCTTTTAAAATCTCTATATTTTTAAATACCAATGGATTGTTTTTAAGTTGTAAAATGTTTCAAATGAATACCAATGGATTTTAATAGACTATTTAAAAAAATATTTAAAATCCAAATTGAATACTACTGAATTATTTTTAAGTGACATAAAATTTTGATCGAATACCAACAAATTTTTTTACTAAAAAAAAAATCTTTTAAATTTCTATGAAATTCTAAACTAATACACCCCCTAAATAATCTAACTATCATGATTTAATTAGCCATTCAAAATGCATGATTCAGGTTTAATTAAGGTTTGTATTTATAATGTGTGATTGTGATTCCCTAGGAGTTCTATTAATCACAACGCCACCAAAATTTCAATATATAAGTGCATTTCCTTCGAAGTTAAGTAGAATCCTGGTGCAGCTGAAAATAATAACACATTTTTATTAAATATTTATAAATTTTATCAATAACTCTTATCCAAAAATTAAACTTATCACTTTTAATAGAATCTCTCTTTTTAGTTATATTTTTTTTTTTTATACACAAAATTTAAATACGAGACTTTAGTTCCAGTTCAGTATTACTTAAACTAACAACTTGATAAATAATAACTCATCCAAGTAGGGTTGTGGAATTAATATCTGTCTATTATAAGATTAATCTTATATTAATCAAATCCTGTTAAAATTATGAAAACTAAAGAAAATGATTATTTCTTGAGCTAATTTTTGTATTCAATTTTAAAGATTTTTTAAATCAAAATTAAAGTTCATGCACATAATTTTTTATCGATTAAAATTATCACTTGACCTATACAATTTAGTCTATTGTAAGATTAATCATAAATGAAGAAAATTGTTTTGTCGAGCGTTTCTCCAAATGTACATAATCAAGATTATGTACTGAGTCATTTCGACAAGGTCAGAGACTAATCGAATAAGGGTCTTCATCGCAAAACTATGAGAAACTTGGAGTACATCAACGAGTTCTTCACCGATCTTGCGTCGTTAAAACGTGATTATAATACAATGCAATATTGTGAGATATTTAAAAAATGTTAATTAATTGGTAAAGAAACAAAATAATGCTCCTCATCACCATCTACAACATTAATCATTTCAATCTCAGCAATGCTCCATTAATTGGTACCAACTTAATTGAGCACCATTGTTACAAGTGCCCATTGGATAGCCTTCCAAGTTTCAAGAAGAACCCGATGATGACGATGTTGAAGAAGCTATAGAAAAAGTAGACGAAGACCCAAAAGACGTTACATCAAAATTTATTGTTAATGAAAATTATTTAATAATAATAAATTAATTATCTATTTTATTATTTAATAAAAATATTAATGACTAATAAATAATAATCATTAAAAATATATTTATAAAAATAATTATTACAAATTATCGATAAAAAAATAAGAGTAATTTTTAATTTATTTATGGGTTTGGATAGAGTTATTTTATGAATTTGGTATTTATAGATACCACTAAAAAGTCTTTCAAAACCCCTCTAATACAACAATCTTTTAAAATCTCTATATTTTTAAATACCAATGGATTAACTTAGTGGTGGGTCTCACATGAAGCTGCATGGATGGTCCTCCATCAAGAAGACCCTAGGAGAACAGAGACATGGAGTCCTATACTTAATAAGTATAACAAGAAGTTGTCTAAATGGAAACACAAATCTCTTTCCATGGCAGGGAGAGTATGCTTAATCAACTCTGTCCTAACATCTTTTCCACTCTTCTATTTCTCTTTTTCAAAGTCCCAAAGAGTGTGGTAAAGAAAATTGTCTCTATTCAGAGGAGGTTCATATGGGGTTACTAAGACGACGGAAGGAAGATATCTTGGGTGAGATGGGAAAAAGTTACAAGGCCAAAAGAGGAGGGAGGGCTTGGAATAAAAAATATTGCAACCTTTAATGTAGTTCTTCTGGAAAAGTGGAGGTGGAATCTCTTTCACAAACCTAACTCAACGTGGGCACAAGTGTTGTTATCAAAGTATGGTGCTGACCGGCCTAACCTGTGCACAAGTTACGACAATGCTACGACTTCAATTTTGTGGAGGGATATGCTTAAGGCTTGTGGAGCTGACAGTGAAGACAAATGGTTTGATAATTCAAAGGATTGGAAAATGGGGGAAGGAAAGCAAACTATGTTTTGGCTGGATGGGTGGACTGGCCAAGAATGTCTAGCTATATTATATCCCAGGTTATTCTTAATTTCCAAACAGAAACATGATACAGTTCACAAAATGGGGCAGTGGGAGGATGACACATGGGTTTGGAAGTTTAGGTGGAGGAGGGAGAGGTTTGTTTGGGAGGAAGATCAGATTTCAACACTACTTCAGATTTTAAATACCTTCTCTATGAAGAAGTTGAAGAATGACTCTTGGAATTGGAAGCCGGAACCATCAGGAGAATTCTCAGTAAGTTCTGCTTATAAAACCTTAATGTCACAAACGTCAACTAATGGAAGACAAGAACTATTTGCATGTATGTGGAAACTAGATATACCTCCAAAAGTCTCTATGTTTGTTTGGAGATTGTTTACCAATGCTTTAGCAACCAAGGATAACCTTCTTAGGAGGAATATTTTGGTGGAACCCCAACATAGATTATGTGTATTGTGCAGCACCGATTTTGAAACTACATCACATTTGTTCTGTACATGTCCTATGGTAGTCACTATATGGAATCAATGGCTTGTATGGTTGAATTGTCCTACTCCTTAGCCTTAACTTATAGAACAACAATTTCTAGCTACTCCTGGACTACTAAAATCTACGGTACAAATTGAGCAGTGGAAGGTTGTGTGGTGTGCCACAACTTGGAGCATTTGGAATATGAGGAACCTATGTATCTTTAAGGAAGGTCTGGTGCATAGAGATAGGCTGATGGAAGACATATTGTTCGCTTCATGGTCCTGGTTGTCCAGTATGAACGAAAGCTTCAACTATTCCTTCTCACAATGGGTGACTAATCCAGGCCCCTGTCTTTTGTCATCATGCCATTAATTCAAGGAAAAGGAGTCAGAAGGGGAAGTGCACTACTTATCACCCAAGAAGATTCAATTATCTTATCGAGATATACATGAGGTACATGAGGAAAATAGGACCAATGTGGAATTAACCAACTCTAATGAGCTGAAGCTGATAATGCTGATACGGGAGGTCATACCACAGCAAGTATGAAAACCAATTTGGCAACATAATGATGTCTCGATCATGGACGTGAGGGATGGTTGATTAAATGGGAGGTCAAACCGTGGTACTACGGGATTGCTGCAAGCTAGGGGGAAATAAATTTCATACAAATTAAATTGTAAGTTTGGGTTAATTGGTAATTTATACTGGTTCAAATGTAAATTACCTATTAACCCCCATTAGGAAGGAAGAGGTAGTTATATAGGTGTGTTAAATATATTGTGTATGGGTTTATGGTACCCCTTGTACCTAATTAATATAATTATCTTTGCTATCAAAAAAAAAAAATATATATATATATATATATATATATAAAAAGAGATGAGAGATTCGTCTATTTTAGGAATAAGTCTATCTATACTTACTTTGTTCAATAACTCGTGTTTTACATCAAATTTCAACAATCTAACTATGGAATTTAAAGTTTTTAATACATAGATCAAGTCTGCAAATTTAAAAAAAATTGAAAATCATTTTATATTTCATTTCATTAATTCAAATTGAATTAGTGAAACGAAGTATCAAATGATCTTTAATTTTTTTAAAATTTATAGGTTTATCAAAGCATTAAGAACTTTAAATTTAACGATTGAATCGTTAAAATTTGATATAAAATATAAGTTATTAAATGAAATAACTCTAGTTATACTTATTCCTAATAGATCCCTCATCTTATATATATAATCAACATATGTATTTATATAATATTTACATATCATTACTTTGTACCGTGCACCATTTTTCGTACTATTATCATTAATTAATATATAGGA